GACTGTCTTTCAAGTCAATAATAATGGTTTATTATAAGCGATCTATCTTTCAAGACCAAAAACCAATACAAATATAATTATACAAGTTATCCAAGTTTCTATCAAACAAGAAATTTCTCAAGTATTAACTTTCTAACTTGACTAATTATCTGACTTGATTAATTTCCAAACTTGATTAATTTTTATTCTAAGCTAAGATACATGGTATATTTATATAAATTACATGTTATACGATATAACTGGTTTTATTATTGTTGTCGTTAAGTTAATTAAATACAAGTGTTATCAGCATTTCTGGTGTTAACACGAGTGTTAACGTCATTGTCATCATTGCTGTTGTTGCTATCATTGCTGGTGTTAACACAAACTTAAGAACCAATAATATCTAACATATAATTATCCAATAAGATAATAACTATCTAAAAATAACTATCCAATAGAAATACTAATATATATAATCCAATAATAATAAATATAAATCTTATCCAATAAGATTGTTCGTCAAATGTCATATCATGACAATATCAACTCTCCCATCTGACTCTATCACGTGTACTCTCGTGACAGAACTTAAAGTCATATTAAAACAATAATAATAATAATCAATAATAAAAATGTTATCACGATCTGATGCATCATATAATTTCACGTGATTACGTAGAAAAAAGATGCTCTTAGGATAGTTATTAATATCTGAGATTTGGCCATCCCCCCTCTCTTCTAGAATATTTATCACTTTTCCAAGTTCTTAGATCTCAGTCCAATCCGATCCTGTCTGTGATTGGCAGTCCTTGGATCGGATCGAACCGGATGGACCGATTAATATTCTGTAACTCGCAGAAATTCTAATTACATGCCTTACTAGCCAAAAGTCTCGAGACTTTCTACTCGTGCGAATAGTTGTGCTTTTTGTTTATTTGCCTTGGTCGTCACTTACATATCTCTCCCTTGCGAGCTTTAAATGTCTCAAAAGACATCTAATATGCCTTCGCAAAGTCACCACCATCAGTCTTTACCTCTACGTATTCTTGCAGTAGGCTCTGCCTATGAAGACACTATTCTATATGTTGACAAGTTCCCGCCTGAAGACGGAAAACAACGCGCGCAACGAGTGGAAAAGCGGCGTGGTGGGAATTCTGGAAATACACTGACCGTGTTGTCGCAATTTCCATTATGTCAGCCTTACTTTATGGCTTCTATGGCGTCAAAAGAAGCATCCACGTGAGCATTTTTATTATAATAATTAAAATTTTTAAATCATAATTATTAATATAATCGAATTATTAGTTTTTTGGTGCAAGATTTCGAGGCGCATAATATCAAGACTTCGACTTGCCTTTTTCGTTCTAATGCCTCTCACGCGCCAGTAGCATATATAATTCATGCAGAAAATACCAGTTCAAGAACAATAATAAATTATAATAGGTGAAAAAACGCATTTTTGATCTACTATGCTCTATTTCCTTGAAGACCGTAAAGTTTATCTTTTTTATAATGTATATAGTATCGATGAACTGACATTTGAAGAATTCAAAAGGAAATTTGAGGGTGTCTGTGATGAGGCAGCGATGAATGATTTGAATCAAGATGTTCCTTTCAATTGGATACATTTCGAAGGTCGTAATACTGAAGAAGTAGCCAAAATGATGGACCATACTGACACTAAAGAATGGCGAAATCGATGTATTATAAGTGTGGAATTGGAGAAACCACATCGAAAGGGACTTGAAGATTTAATGCATCGGGCAGATGTAGTTTTCTTTTCGAAAGTGTTTGCTGAAGGAAAAGGCTATGATCGTGCTGGTGATTTTCTTCAAGTTATGGGCCCATATTGTAAAAAAACGTGAGTATTGAGACTCTATTCGTTATACTGCATAACTACTACTATAAATAATAAATTAATAAAATAATCTAATTATTCATTTTCATAGTGCATCATTATTTTGTACGTGGGGTAGTTCTGGTGCATCATGTTTTCATAATCCAACACAAAAACTTTTCTCTGCTTCCGCATTACCAATACCGAGTGTAGTCGATTCTGTTGGTGCTGGCGACACATTTATCGCTGGTGTGATATACGGATTAACGCAAGGGATGCCGCCAGAAGGATGTTTAAGATCTGCGTGTGAATTGGCTGGGCGTAAATGTGCTCAGGTTGGATTTGAGAAAGTTGTCGAGAAGATGAGTCAATTTAATTAGTGACTATATGGTTGGGAAAAACAGCAACAATTATAGTTACAACAACATCGATGACAACAGCGAAGTTGAAGCATAAATGTACAGCTGGTCTACGGGTTGCAACTAAAATTTGATATACACATATGAATTCCGCCGATATATCATTTGACCTTCCGCAGGTGTCCGCATATGTATTCAGTTTACCTGCGGGTTTGAAAAGTTAAATCCCGTGATGTGTGAAACTATTGAATACGAAAAAGGATATACATTGGAAACGGAAAAAATAGATTATCGATAAAATTATTTCATATTTTGACAAAAATTTGATTTTTTGCTATTTAATATAATAACACACTGCATCAAAAAAAAAGCTTACTGTATAAAGTAGATATTACTTATTTCTTATAATACACATAATATAAATATCATTCTCAATACTTAGCGAAATTTTTTCACTCCAACCATGACAATGCGCTTGACAAATATCTAAATCCGATTGATAAATCCGTCGAGTTATCCGGACTAGGTTCAAATAATATAACAGTTCAAAGAAATCGCATGGGGAAAAGAATAAAAATTCAAAGCGGATTAAGGAATATCCGTGACTCGATCGTCGAAATGTGTATATACAGCATATACTCAGAATTCTACTGGCAACTTTGTTATCAGCATGAAGAAATTCAAAAAGGATTAACACCAAAAGGTTACGGAAAAATATACAGGACGCCAATCTAATCAATTATATCTAATGAGTGGATTTACTATGAAATTGCTAAGATGCATTGGAGACGTTTCCTGATTTAGTCGAATTGACAACTCTACAGAAACCAATTACGAGTCTTTAGCTGAAAAAAAAAGCTTCTCCTGCTATTACCTCGGGAAAAGATTAATTATCAAATTTCGCGACATATAATAGTAATCCAGTGTTGCTCAAAAAGAGCGTGGAAATATTTCGAAACTAGCCAAACGATACTTTAATAATTGCGGGTTTAAACAAGCAATGCTATAATAATCCAACGGCCAGTGCTGATTTCTTTCATGCGCGATTGAGGATCATCTTGACTACGAATTCAATTCGAATCCATTTATTTTTTTGAACTTGATTCGAATTCACGATTGCAAGTTCAAAAAAGATCATATATATAGAGAGAGATGCATGATCAAGGAACAATTATGGGAAGCAAAATGGTTTCTATTACTGCATACCCATAATCATGCATGACTACATGTTACAGTAAAACGATTAGTTATATAGACCAATAATCTGCTCTTTTTGGATTCTTCAGCAGTTAAAAACTAGTTGTAAAGAAAAAAAAAATACGCGTAAAATTCTATTATTTAATTTTAATTATGCGTTTGAACAAAAAATATATGAAAAATTACAAGGAGTAGGAATAAAGTGTCACCGTATACCGTGAGGATTTATTTTCACTAAGTATATTGTTGAGTTATTTTATAACTAAAAAACAAACTTAAGCAAAGAGAAAATACTAGAAAACTATATGTGCCAAAAATCATATATTTGAGTTAATTGTAACTGAAGAAAGTATCATGAATAATTTGGTGCTCTCACGTGGAAATTGATTATAGTGAGATGCATGGGATGCAGCGACGTATATTGTATTGATATGATAAATGGAAACCATGGATGCGAGATAAAAGACACATATCTTCTAAATAATTAATCGATACACATTAATCGAACATATGGAAGAACCAAAATTATGAATAATGTAATCAACCTACTTTGACCGATTGCCAGATCGGTTTGACTGTGTCAGATGTATCTGAAACTTGAGTTCACCAGTAACTCGAGAATGAAACTTAATTGGACCATCTTGACAAGGTTTGGGACTAATAATAAAAATATATATATATATATATAGCTCTAATACTTTTAACAATGAATTAGAAAGCCAGTAAGGAATTATATAGTCATACCGATCACACGCTGAAATTATTTTTTCATCATAGATAAAAAGTGATTGGTCAAAATAAGGACTTTCACTGCGAGATTGTGGGCTAAAGGGTAAACATGCTAATACACGTTTGATTGCTTGTGTTGGCCTGTTTTACAATATGAACAATAAAATTCATTTAATAGAGACGATGTTTTTGAAACTTTCAAAAGATGCTCACCCTCCATTTCGAGCATATCGTACAGCATATTGATGTTTTCTTAGATTTTCTCGTGCATATAAATTATTCGAATAAGTTGAATTGAATAAAAATGGTTCATTGAATGCTATTTGCTGAAATGTTTCGCTTGACTTTTCAAAAGCATCTAAAAATTCTTCGGAAGCATTATCATAAACGGACTCAATCTCAGATTCCTGATAATTATATATTACAAAGAAGGCTGGATTGATTGCATTTTCAGCATGCTTTAAAAATCAATGAATAATAAACTCATTAGAATTATTAATAAAAAAGACCAAAATATCTATAATTATTAATACTTACATAGCTGATGATACAATCTAAATTTGTAAATTTTATCAGTAGACGAGACTCATCGATAAATTGTAACCTCCACATGACGAGCGATGATAGCTGTTCAAAGATCTGATAGAAATGACGCAACGCTGAACCCCTATGAAATCGAAAAACAACATGAAAATTTGTACCAAAGGGAATTCGGATTATTTTCTCTTAAGACAAAACATGCTGCTACCCATCATTTGTATTGTGTGCTTGTTTGAATAAATAGGCCAGAAGTTTTTGCTTGATACCACTGTATGGAGGTGAGCCCTATTCCAACAATTACGAAAATGAGGTTATTTTCTATGTATTTTACATATATTTAACTATTTGGCTTACGTCTTCTATGATCGTAAATTTCTGCATTATTTCAGGATCGGTCTGAGTTGGAATGTGTAATGTGGGCGACATTAATCTTGTAGAGGGCACTTCAAAATCCATTCTGTCAATTAAACTTATACTCTCGTATGAGGATGAAGTCGAAGGAGGATGCATTATTTCTTCATAAATAGAACTTTCATGCGAAAGTTTTCTTTTTTTGTAAGAATTTCCCTCTTTTTGTTTTCGAGCTTCAAAATGGTCATTAAATTCTCTATATCTTGCCATAACAAGTTCATCATCTTCGTGGTTAAACCATCCAATACTTCGTTCATCAACAAAGTGTCCATCTTCCTAATAATAAAAACACAAAATTAAATAAGTAATACAGTAATGAAATCAGATTCTTTATGAATGACAAAGAATAAATTACCCTTATATGAAGTATATGAATTGTTTGGTTCTGAACAGAAAGTACAGAAAAGAGATTTCCAATGAGGGCAACTCCATAATGATGAGACAAATAAATGCATTCGTTTTCAAAGGTTATTTTATCACATATCTAAAAATGTAAATGATTATGAATTCAAAAATTTTATGTAAGAATTCGAAAATTGATGATAAATAGAAACCTGTCCTGTCTCGATTTCAATAAGATAAAAGGTAACATCTTCAAATTTTGAAAGAGAATCCAAAGAACACGGGTATTTGCGAGCTTCTTCTGGAGAGCAAAGTGAATGAATGGACGAGGCTAGAATCATCTGAAGAATTATTAGATACAGAGAGTCAATATAAGAAATTCTAGTTTAATAATTATCTAAACATAGTATTTACATATTTGTTACTTTTGGTAATTAGGCAAAAATCTTTGCATAGAACCTCGGCATGGTTATCTGTAATATTCGTTTCATGTTTGAGCGAGAAATACTTGTCAAAAGTGTATATTAAAGTCAAGAATTCAATTAAGAGGTGTCAAGAACGAATTAAATCAAGTTATTATATAAAAGGATATGCATTGTCAGAATTGACAATAGTATTCGCATCCAAGGCTGAATCAAGACATGTCGTTTCAAAGTTGTAAACTAGAAGGACACGCAAGCAAGAAGAAAAACTAATCATATACTATAATGGGTTGAAAATTTTATTGGAAAATCAACAACTTTATGAAAGAACACATTGTCTTTCAAAATAAAGGGATATTTTAAAGAAAAGGAGATAACCTTTCCATCGGGCGTAAATCTTCGAAGATTAATAAAATTTGGAACTTTAACAACAAATATTGTTTCATTAGGAAACAAAGTTGTGTAAAATTGTCTATTATTTGCAAGATTGGTATTAGGTTTAAAAGAATGTATTTCTCTTTCTAACAAAGCTTGAACACAGTTTTTGGGTTTATAGAATGACATTGAACTGCAAAATTTCTTTGAAAGGTAAAAATAGTGAAATTGAAAATGTTATCATTATGTTATGGTGTACGTAAAAATAATCACGTGCAAAATTTATTTATAATATAGGGAATTCTGGAGAACTAACGGGAAGCCATTTTTTCCCAAACCATATAACATATAGTCCTTGAAATATCTCCAGCGAATTCAAGTTCAAGTCCTTCAGAATTGGGAAGTGCCTCTCGACATACTGTATTGACGACAATCAATTCTCTATTTTCTTCATTGAAAACAAATTGAATTAAATGATCGTGGTTATGCGGATTGAAAATAAGCAAGTGACGACGGGAATGTTCGTGCAACTCCCGGGCATCATCTCCATAATAATTACAAAGAAAATTAAGAACATCAAACCAATTGAGTGAAAGCTCAAGGATTTGCTTAAAATCCGGATTGATTGTAATCAACTCTCTTGCACGCCATCGTTGTGTAAGTTCCAAAAAATCTTCATGGTTCATTTGTCCTGTCATAGATACAGACTTTATAGGCCGTAATTGGTTCCATAACGTATCACGTCCACTAAATTCAATAGCCTATTAAAAATTATAATATCCAATTAGACAATTAGAATTAATATAACAAACACTCGTTAGAATATTAAATTTGGACCTTGGTAACAATTGAATCCAGAATTTCTCTTGCATATTTAATGTGGTTAAATCGCTCTTCATCGTGATCGATACATTGAGAGAGATCTTGTGTAGAAGTAACTTTCGATGAATCATTATTTTGATTTAATACAATAATAAAATAGTCCAATACTAATTTTCCCGATAATGAAAGTTGGTCTGCATGAGTAAAGATAAATATACGTTGTTTTCCATAAGATGTAATTCCTTCTCGTTGCTCTATATGTTCGTGGGCTTGATCAAAGTCGTTTGTATAGCAAGCTATAGGCTCATTTTCAAAAGGAATCCCAAAAAACCCGTATCTCTGTGGATTTTTTGCAATATAAGAATAAAGGTCTTTTTGAATTGATGAAGACACTTTTTCAAATTTATCATAGTAAATTCGATTTTCTGCGTAACTTGCAGATCGAGAATATACATTAATAAACGCTTTGATAAATTCCAAGATACTGAATGGCGCTGGAATATTTTTTTGGTTTTCCAGGATGTACTTTATGTAATTCAAATGAAAATCATAAACAAAGGAATTGACATGTATTAATTTCTTAAATCGACCACATTCTTCCGTGAATATTTTCAAACTATTTCGATCACCTTCTATAACGTCGAATCCAGGCGCGGCAACTCGTAAGCGTCCGTATCTCCGATTGAGCGTATAAAGTGTCACGCATACGAATACTCCTTGGATTCGAACTTCACACATAATTGAACCTCCTTGAAGTGCCTTCAGTAAAAAAACAGCTGGACAATCGATCGCAACATTTTCAGAGATTGAAAATTTCGACGTAAACGATGGGAATCCTTTATTCCCATCATCAACTAAATTTGAATCTGATTTGCCAAAGATTACAATTTGCATGCCAATTGTTTCAAGATATGAAGCGTAATTTTGTAGAAAGGTTACAATCATGGTTTGATACCAATTTAGTATTGTCTCATTTTTTGATCTTTGTTGTTCTTGTTGCGATATCATCGATTCTATTTGGATACGATTAGAAGGAGTTCCACCGAAAAGAAGAGGAGTTCTGCAGAAATGTAAAATACGCGAAGTTCTAAATATAATCGCTAAATCAGAACGTGCGATTGTATGAATTCCAATGATATCTTCCCCTCCTTGATATCTTTTTACCCATTTTTCATAAACTTTGAGTGCATTTTCATGTGCCTGTGAAATTTTAGCTTGACGAATGCAAGTCGCCATAAATGGAGGCCCATGACGTAAAAGAGCATCTCGTTCATTACCGTCAATACCATATTCGACTGCTGTTTCAACAAAGGCATCTTTAAGTACTTCATTTAATTCTAGTGTAGATACCGAAGGAGTATTATTTGTTATCTTCTCTAATTCTGAATTATTAGCCGCTGTTGATGGTGAATCATGTCGAATATCTATTTGATTTGATGTTGTTTTCTTTGTCTCTTCTTCTGATGATGGTCGATTATCATTAGCAGGCCGTTGTGGAAATCTTTCACGAATTAGTGACTTAACATAACCTAAATCTGCAATATCTTGAGCTATTACTCCTGTTCTAGGTGGTGTCTGTGCTGCCATCTGTGACGGGATTGATAAAGAAGGTGGTTGTTGCTGTTGCTGTTGCTGTTGCATCTTCAAAAGATTTTCAACATGCGGAGGTTTCTGAGTAGTATTATTGAATAACGCAGAAGATCCTGGCATAGGTGAAGGAACCACGCGAGGAGTGTGTGGAGCACTCGGGAATTGCATAAAAGTTGAAGGAATCTTATTATTTGATATACTATCAATATGATAAAATAAACCCATTTTTTGATGAAGTATATTATTCAATAGCTGCATGCGATCATTGTGCCAATTTGAAATCTTTTTCAATGAAGTGAATATTTGCTCGCTATAATTTTTTTGTAAATTATAAGTATAGACAGACATGGTAAAACCATCGATCGACATAATCAAAAAACAAGAGCGACTTATATTTGACGGAACTTGTGCATTATTATATTCAGATGATGATGCTATAGAATGAGTTCCACTCGTATAAGACATAATGGATTCTTCAGAAAAACTTTTCTGTTGTCCGACTGAAGTAAATAGAGAACTTTTTCGATGATGAGTTGATCCAATCTTTTCATTTGTATCAGTGTTTTGTGAAAAATCCTCGATAGAACTTTTGCGCGAAATTGAGAGATCACTGCCTAAACTACCTCGACGATTTTCAGATAATTTAACTGAAGGTCCATATCGTATGCAAAGTTCCTTAAGACCACTAATCAAAAAGTATTGATTAGAATAAGAACCAGAAGTAACGTCTCTTTTTTCGGAGGTCTTTGATGGGTGATATATTTCATAGAGATTCTGAACGTCAGTTGCAAATGAATCCGATAATGATGTTCTCCTTAAAATAATAGGAAAAAAGTTGCAATGTACTTCGGATAAAAGTTCATGGATTTCTCTTAAAAAATCATCCATGATCCAGAAAGGCATATCTGCAGCCATTTCCAAAGATTTTACTGCAGGATTTCCTAAATCTGCGGATTGTTCGAGTATCATCAAAGATGGCTCAATAAAGATTTTTTGGATGTGACGTTCAAGATGTGTTGCTGAATTATCTCGATTAGTAGATGCAGATTGATTGGAATCCAAATTTAATGATTGTTGTTCTAGAGATGAATCATCAGAAGCTTGCGATAAACCTTTTATTATATATAGTTCGACGAAATAGTCGCAGAGTGTTTGTTTGAAACTACACTTAATTTTCTCAATTAATAGGTCCGAGTTAATATTCCCTTGTGACCACATTTCAACAAGTAGGCTGTATGAGCTTTTATTATTATTATTATTATTAGCATCATCATCATTTTTTACTGACGGATCTGGAAATATGTGATCTAGATCATCAAGTAAAACTTTGACAAACTTAACCATTGCTGTATTATCATCATTTTTATTACTTTCGTCATCATTAATAATAGAATCTGATGGAGGAATTTCAAAGATAGGTCTGCCATTTTGGTTCATTAAAGTCAAACAAATACCGGAAATTCCTTTGGTTTCGAAAGAAGAAGCTCTTGCTTGAACGCAATTATAATAAAATGCAAATTCACCCAGGTGAACTGATGACATAGTTTTCCTGCGTGTGATAATAATGATAATAATTAATATGAAATGTAAGTATCCTTTTTGGCGTGACAAATTCACAAACCTTCCACTTTCTGTGTTCCAATTTATACCATATCTTGCAATATAATGACGATTTAAAGTGTTGATCACATCAGGGCCGCTCAAAACAGTCAAGTAGTTCGACAAATTTTGTTTGAAAAAAAATAAAAAAGCATAAAGATTTTTCACTGAACCCGGTATGTTTAACATTTTTTTACACGTGGGAGTCTTGAGAATCGGTAAAATGAAATCCACATCCTAAATAATATTAAGTAATTTGTTTGTTAAGAAGATGTCCACATTAAATATATATATATATATATATATATATATAAAATCAGTTAGTAAAGCTTACTGCAGAGGTTGGTTTTGCATTAAGAGTTCTAGCGAGAAAACTGGAGATTACACCGAGAGTGATATTTGTGGTTAATTTATTATCCAATAAAGATACTAATTCTTCCGTGATTTCACGTCCTGGCATATCTACTCCATAAACTTCCATTACCAATTCACGTGTTTCACCAAAGATGCGAGATTGTGCTGCAGATCCCACTTTCCTTGAACTAGGGGAAACTGTATTAGATGTCCGAGGACTAGCACTTTTATTCGATGGTGACCTTCTATTGTCATCCGAACCAATAATTGGAGTGGTTGAATGAATTTCCTGCGAATTATTATTACCGCCAATAAACGAGGAGTGAATATATGGTGAATATCCATATCTAATGTTTGATTCCTCGATCGTGTTCTCAAATTCCGAGACAGTCGGCACCCCTATTTCTGATAGTCTAAGATAAACTATGTAATCTCCCTTGGGAATTACAAACATATGCTTTCTATTGATGATAGCAAATGAATCAAGCACTAATGATGTGATAGTATTGAGAGCGTAATTAGGTTTTAATCTACGATGAAGTAAAAAAGTTTCTTTGAATACTAAGGGACATTCAAATTGTCCGGGCTTAAAATGATCTAAAGTTGAAAGATTCGCGAGCGAGCCACTACTGGCTTCCATTTCTGTCCTTTGAGCATCACTTTCTTCTTCCGATGCCGATGATGCCGATGATGATTTGGATTCGGGTGTACTCTCAGGTGGTGCCACTAAATATTTGCTGTTGAACAAAAGACAATAAATAATACTGAATTTTCAGACCGACTAATTAATCAGTTAATTTCATTACCTGCAACGGTGTGTTTCATTGAGTTCATCTAATAAAACCAATTGATTTACTCGTTTAAGAACTTTTTCAATGCAATTTTGTACGTATTTTATAATCTCATTACGTTTAGCAGCTGTGACAATTTTTGAATAATAAAAAATCACTATGTTGAACTCTCGTGGCACAAGTAAGAGCCAGAATTTTTGATTTACTAAAGAATTTCTTTTATCAAGCGAATCAAAAGTTTTTTGACCAGCATTTGAATTGATTGTTTCAGGAGAATCGAAACTGATTCCAAGACCTCCGCACAAATCGTCACCTCCATTGTAAGTGTATTCACCTCCAGAATCATTATAAGATATATTTAGATCGCTTCCTTTTGAAACAGATTGTTCAAGTACATCTTCACTTTTTGGATTGTTATCCATCGAGATGTCAAGTATATTACTGGGTTCTTTTGTGATGTGTTCTGAAGATAATTCGTCAACTTCAGCATTCTCGCTTAGATAGAAACAATCTTCAACTTGATTAAGTGAATATGGTGACATATCTGCTTTTTGGAATTCTTGTAAGAATTTCTCCTGTCCTTTCATTCGACGGACAAAAGATAAAGGCATATTGATAGCAGTTGGATAATCTAGAAATTGTTTATTACTTTCTAACTGCATTTGTACATATTTCAGTAAAATGCTGTCGAATGGATGAGATTTCAAGAGTCCGTGTAATATCTCTTCTTTTAATAACCATTCGATACGCGATTGGGTTTCCTCTAAAGCTTCTATTTTATCTTGGCTGAATACAGATTTAAAAGTTGATCTTGATTTATCATGTTCAAATCGACTGAATATAATAAATTGGCAAGAAAGTGATTAATAGATAGAAGTAGAAAGAGTTTTAAATATTGACTAATGATGTTCACCTCGCGTGACTGTCTATTTGAAGATCTTTAAACCCTGACGACAACTTGACAGCTTCCTCTTTGAAAGTAGGTAAAGTCAAACAAATAATGTGTAAAGTTGCAGTAGTTCCATCAGTAGAAGCAACAGGAGATTCTTCAGTACCAACACTTCTAGGTGTGAAGTCATGAAATTTCCCATCTACTATGCATGAATAACTGGTAGGTAGGGTCGATACTGTAAATTTTACGAAATTTGCATCTCCAAGAACGGATGCCTCTTCCGATTGAAAGTCTTTATGTAACTGAAATTCAGTATCAAGAGCGGGTACTGCCGCTTTCTTGAATGTACATTCTAATCTGATAAAGAGCGGATTTTCTGCGCAGGTAAAAATTTCTGCAAAATTTCCCAAGAGATCTGGAGCCATGTCCTTTTCTAAACTCTGTGCATTCGCTTTTTTGATCGATGCTCGATAGAAGTATATGTTTTGTAATTCTGGATCAATGAATGTGGCAGGTTCGAAATATTGACCGAGTACGGAAATGAATTTTTGATAAACTTCTATTTCCTCATCTCTAGACAGAAGTTAAGAATTAAAGAGATATTTTGAAACACGGTAATTCAAAGGATTTCCTTACCCATCAGGACTTTTGCGAGCAGCTTGAACGTGAACATTTACATATCCAGTTATATCTATGTCAACAGTATCCACTTCTATGCAAGTGTTGATTGCTTTTCTTAGATCGTTAGGGTCAACGCATCGCTTTTGAATAATGCTAGAATATATGGATTGAGTGAAACTATAAGCAAATAACTTTGTTATCCCACGAGTAATTTTAGCCGCTTCATCAGATGAAAGTGGATTTTTATGGCCTCCAGCAAAAAGATGTGGATCTAAGGAATAATTTGCAATATTGGAAGTAGAATTTCTGAATGAAGTTCCCATCGATATTGGTTTGATCATCTTCATATTTTCAAAAGTGTAGTGAAGATAATTAACAGGATTATCATCTCCATGTAAAGGACGAGGTCTTTTACACAAAAACAAAAGAATGTTTAAATAAAATGGATCCTGGTTATTTTCGAAAAATCCATGCAATCTATCTAAGATAACTTTTAAAGAAGGAATAATGATAAGGATAAACGAGCTAGAATCGATCATTTTGACAAAGCATTTAGTCTCTTGGAGATCTCGAGTCCACTGCAATGTTATCTTGTTGGTGTCGATAAATTCTGATAATGCTAAGTAGATTCGATTTAACAATTGATCCTTTTTGCAACTTTCATGTTCTGTATTTATTTCACCACTGGCGTATTTGGAGAATGCCTTTTCAAGAAATAGATGAAATAATGCGAAATCTCGATCAGCACCCCCATTAAGCTTTGCTATCGAATTGCGATAAGAATTATACACGTCAAGATTCAATTGTTGTTCTATTTGAGAGGATTGATTTTTATTTGAATCTAAGGGTGAACCATGATTACTTGTTGACATAGGATTTTGAAGAATTTTTGGGGATCTTGGATCGAAAAAACTCGATCTGATGGTGGTATCGCTATTAGCAGGTGAAACCTTTCCAGAATTCACACTACCAGTAATTGGTGACGCTTTAAACAGGGGAATAATATAATTTGCAACCAGGAACTTGCTAGTGTGAAGTAGAGCTGCTAGATCAAATAGTTCAGGAAACTGGGGTTTATCTAATTGTGAATTTTTCTCGTGGGTATTTCCTGAATGAAGATGTAGATTTTGTTGTTGTTTTGAATTAGCGATTGCTATATAACAAATTTGATCAAAAGTCACTAAATGAGAAAGTTTTAGCCGATCAGTTTCTTGGATTTGCCTTGATATAGAATTATAAATATCTTTCAAATCTATATCTTGAGTTGGCTCCATCCATAATTCTGTAGTTATTTCGCCGGTGGAAGAGTCTTTGAAAACTTGATATTGAATCCCACAAACTTTGCTGATTTGACCATTATCTCCAAATTTTAAATTCGGGTTATTCTCATTATATTGTAATTCACGATAAAATATTTGCTTGTCAGTTTTTTCATACACTAAAATATAACCTTCGTCTATTCTCGTTCGGCACAGATATTGAAAGGCTAAATCTTGAATAGGCGTTATCCGTAAATCTTTAAAGAACACCTCATCATCAAGGTCCGTTAGCCAAGCCCTTCTATAATGTCTTAAATATGATTGCGCAATAGAATGATAACCAGTTTCTAGTCTGGTATCCACAGGAAATTCTCCCTCTGAGGAAATATTCAGAGCTTTCAATAATAATCTTGATAAAGGCCGTTTACATATATGTATCATATAGTTTTTGTCTTCGTATGATTGTTCGTCGGACAAAATGTTGATAATCTCTTGGAGCGAATGTCGACGATGGGATACATCAATATTGAAAAATGCTAGTTTCACATTCCATAAACAGCCGATTTGTTGATCAAGACGAAGTTCACAAAAACTTGTTGTTATGTTTTTTTCACCTCTATCAATGACTTTCACGTATACATTGCTTGAAGGGGAAAAACTTGCCCATGAATTTTTTAAATTTTCCCGGATCTTCGATAACGCTTTTCTCCATAGACGTTCTGTTGCAAGAGATTGTGGCATGGGATAAGATACTGTCGGTGCAAAAAGATAATCGAATTTAATTTCATCACACCATGATCTTGTGGCCAAACGATTCTCGAGAGAATCTCGAAACTGTATAAAATTCTCAAGACGGCTAGACGAAGATTGTGAACTAATATTCTCAGTAGCGCGAATATAACTCTTACTATTGTCCTTTGAACTTTTGAAATATAGGTATTTTTTGAATGATTCATCTGTTTCATGAATTGTGGTCAAAAACTTTACCATCCTAATAATTTTAGAGAATAAAGGATGACTTGGATCATTATTTTGCTGTGCTGTCTGAAAATTCACAAAATATAAAGCAAATACTGTGTAGGCTAAAACATTAATCTCAATTCTTGGTGATTTTAATCGAGTCATTCCTTTTACTTCGCCTGCCCATAGTGCCTTAATTTTGTATTGGATTGTAACATTTGGAAGCCAAAGACGTGACATGGTAATGCAAATCTTTTCAGTTTTACTATTATTGCGGTTCTCAACGAGTACTACATGATCAATGGTAAATCCTTGTCGTATGCGAGCTGCTACTAGTAGTTGAACATCAATAAGCAAAGAGTATTCTTGAAATCTTGTTAGTATCGCTTCAACTGCCGGAGGTTCACTTTTAGGATCCCAAGGGAAAAATTTGTAGGAATTAAATTCAAGCATATGATCCTCCCCGTTAACATATCTTTCACGGGGAACATCAATAGCACGATCTTCTACACCCGGAATACTCAAATATCTCGATTCACCTTTTTTCTTGTTAAAACTGAACTCTTTCATTAGAAGGCATTTGTGATAAAAATTAGGAGGAAACCCATAATCCATTTTTGAACCCTCACTATTAATAGCAACCTTTGGGCAATCTGATGAGTAAAGAAAAAGACCGAAAGTCGCAGCCGCGACGAATCGCAAAATTTCATTATCAGGGACTAGACCAAAATTGCATCCAGGATTGAATCCTTGACTGGATCCAACTTGAATTATATTACAATTAATGCCTTTGTTGGAGAGGAGTTGAAGAACATCATCATCAATTGACATATTTGCAAGATTAGATTTGAGCACGCCATCTGTAATGATAACCAAGGATGGTAGTCCTTCATTGGGAAGTAAATCCATCGCAAATAATCCCGCGTTTAAGCTATAAGAAAGATTGCCGCCGCTTGACCCCAACTTCCAAATATTATCTTTTTTATCGAAAAGTGGTTTTCCTGACCCTGTCACGTCAGCCAATTCTTCAGTTTTGGGTCCTGCAACATCCATGACATATGCGACAGCAAAATCTTTTCGTCTTAAGCTTTGACGAAATGAAGCCAAACTGTCTTGGAATTTTGCAAGTTCCATTTGCAGCTTTGCAATTATTTGCGGTAATAATTTCTCTGTTATCACAATTCCTTGAAGTAGAACTTGCATTGTAGGAAATCCTGCTAATAATGGTATTAAATTTGCATTCGAGGCAAATTGCGAGCATTCAGCTATCACTATTATTGATATTTCGGGCTCGACCTAATTTCCAATATTCGAAATTACAATGATTACGGAATATAAATAGAGTCAAATCGAGGTGGTTGAAACTTTTGAATACCAAAAGGGCCTGGTCTTTTTCCAGATCTTGTAAAACAAATGGCTGGGCAAGTCCTTCTAGGCATTTTCGTAAACTGAATTATCAATGTTAATATAAGTAATTAAGTAATAATTAAATATATAGTATACATTATACAAAAAAATAGATAAGAAAAAAGGAATTACGTTTCAAAAACTTCTGACATAATTATATTTTCTGTTGCATAATCAATTGTTGCTAGAGATGACGTTACATCCACAAGGAAAACCATCCTATATTTTTTGCTCAGAGTAATAATTCGAGTATGAGGCATAAGCCTGTAATGCTTTTCTCGAATATCGTGTTCATGCGGCAAATCCTCAAATGTGTATAATTTACGGGCTCTTCTTTGAGTCTGAGCTTGTATCAAAGAAGCTAGACGAGTATTTGAACAGTGTAATACTTGAAGGTGCTGCAAAAAACGCAAAAAATATTACATGTCAAGTTGAATGCAAAAAGCTTGTATTGTAGTTAAGAATTTTAAAGAACACACCTCGTCTTCTTTAAGGCTGATTGGTTGAAATAAATGTTTAAGTATCCATTTATGATGGTCAACTTTGGTGTAATAGAGCGAATTTTTTATTAATAAAATAACTGATCTCGCGTCTATTTCCTATAAAATACAACAATAAATGATAAATCACTACATGCAAGGTGTAAAAATGCTCAGAAACTATTCAAAGAGACCTCTCTATTTTTTAAAGACTGCATTCTGTTTATTTTGGCTTTCAAAATACTTTGACTCAGTGTGGCCAAATTGAATCTACCAGGGCGACCCCCAAAAGTTCGGGCCACGTGATAATTTTTTAAATTGCAAGATCAACGTGTAACACAAAAATTCAAAAATAAACATATTTTTAAAAAAAGCTTGTATCTATGAAACTATCTTTGCGAAATTTTACTATAAGTACATTTTTTTTTTGCCAAATAACCTTTACCCAGATCCAAACCCCAACCCTTTTCGCATCATTGACGTCATCAAAGAATTATCACGTGGCCCGAACTAAGTCACAAGTATTAGTACATGTGTCATGTGATAAAAATAATTTTTTTCGTTACACTATTCAAGCCATAATGCAGGCATTATGATAATTCTGGCCAACATCATGCTAATTTTTTATAGTGCTAGCCTGAATTATGGCTGGCCAATTGAAAACAACATATAAAAAAATATTGAACTTTAAATTATTATATACATTATTTACCTTTAATAATCTAGTCATAAACTTTTTAGTTATTAAATTACATGAATAACATGTTATATATTTGAAGTTATGAAACATATTTAAACAGTAACAATAGGTATTGTAATAATTGTAACAGATTAAAGTGAAATCAGATTGTAATAAATCAAATCAAAATAAATTTGACTCTTTTTATGGGATAAAAATTTCAGAAAAGGGTTAGAGCATAGCGATAGAGTATAGCATTAAAATCTGTAATATATTGATCTATAATTATTTAAACATTTTACTCTTGTTTCGTTTGAATTTGATTTCATTTTTGAAAGTTAATAACCAATTAATTCAGTTGTTAAATAAATGTAATAATTATATTATTCAACTCATTTGTTGGTTGTTTGAAACAGCTGGTGCACATACAGCATATTTTGTTTATATTAATAATTGATAAGTGATTTTTACAGAATTCATTTTTGGAAGATTTTATAATTTCCTACTCTATAAAAAAACTAACGTTGAACCGAGAATTAGATGATATTATTTATTCTAATGTCTATACAATCTATTCTACTTCCATCTTTGTTTCACCCTCCTCTTCAGAACTTTCCTCTTCCGTGGGTTCATGCAATTGTACTTCAAACTGTATATCTTGGTCACAGCCCGTATAAGAGTCTGACATGTAATAAAGAGTGAGCGTTTGTTCACCAACTTTTTCCGGAAAGGTTACTTCCAACTTAACATCCAATTCATGATTAAGCGTGATACGCTTAATACCAAGTAGTTTATTATCTTCTGGGTCGCAAACGACAATCCACCAACCTTCATCCTTTTTATGAGGGAAATATGGTGCTATCACTGGACCAATATCATTGTCTTCATCACGTTTCAGATGAATAACGACAGTACCTTGTCCACCGGCCACTAATTCGTCTTCATCCAATACCTTTATTCCTACTTCAATGTCGGGATACCGATTCGAGAATTTGGCAACCTGGTTGAATTCATAATCGTTTAATTGCAGAATTTCGCGTAGTTCATTTTCATCTTTTTCTCCCAGATTAAAGACACTTTCAATTCCATTACTTTTGCATCGCTCAATCACCGCTTCAGTAAAGTATGGAACCTGCTTCAACTCTGAATCACGATCCCACACAGCTTGAACACACATTTGTGCCAGTTCCATTGAAGCTGACGCTGGTTTTAGCCACCCTTCGGAGCTGATTACATCGACAATAGCTTGAAGTAAAGGAATAATCTTTCCTAGTATCATGGTTTGATCGGATTGCAAATCCGGCGGCAATTGTGTTCTAGAGAAATGAGCTTGCAAAAGGATATTTGTCTTTACATGTGGGGAATTAAATTTCGGAGATTTGAGCTTGACAGGAAGACGATCATAAATAGCTTTAAGTACTTTATCTTCGTGATGTCTGATTGGAATAGATTCGAATTCAGCGGCCGAGGAAACAATTTCTAAAAGTCCTCGAATTTTTGTCTTTGGATTTAAGCTCATGCTGAACATTTCTATGGTGATGTAGTTCACATTGTAATATGCAGCGATCATACCCAAATTTAGACTAGCAACATCCATTTCATCTTCTAAACTTATACATTTTGAAGCAGCCAGATCATTTACCGTGGTTTCCACCAATTCGGATAAGTGGTCAGATAAGTGTCTGTGATCGGAGCCTTGCATACCATAATAGTTTGGATTTTCAACCATCCGTCGGTATAGGAATGTCCATGTCAGGTAATCAACTGCATCTTGTTTGTTTTCTATCGTTTTCGTCATGATTTCTGCATTGAAGTGATCATGTAAGAAATGATCCAAGTGTGATTCAACTGGAAGCGCTTCGTACAAAAACTTCTTGTAGAATTCTTTCTTGATCGCTTGGCACATTAGAATGCATCGACCAGTATCATCTTCACGAGGACGACAAGCTCGACCCATCATCTGAAGCACGTCAGTTATGGGATAATCTGCATATCGATGTTCTTTGCCTTCATAATACTGAGTGCCCATAATGACAACTAAATGGCAATTTAAATTCAGACCCCAACATGTTTCACGAGATGCGACTACGACTTGAATTGCGCCAGCTTTAAAGAGTTTCAGGACAATTTCCTTGTCTCTCTCATCCAAAGCTTCATGATAGAATCCAACACCATGTTGCAATGTAGCTAATAAAGCTTTATCTTTTACGTTGTCTAGATATTCTTGAATTTCCTCGGTGTTTGCATGTAAAAAGCGATCGGGAACACCATCAGCAGCACTGAATGTGAGCAAATCGATTGCCGCCAGACGGCTTTGTTTTCGTGAAGGTACAAATACAACAGCTGGCTTATCAGAAGAATATGTCGTGATGGAGATGTAGACAGGCTTGGCCATAGCTATCATCAATGAAGCAAAATGAGGAATATTATAATTTTGAATATGAATTTCCAATGGCACTGGTCGAACACTTGGATGGAAATTGAAAATGTTGACAGGTTTTGCTGCAATCCATTCACCAAGATCCAAAGCATTAGCTAATGAAGTACTCAAACATACAATTCGAATTTGATTTGCTGCTTGTCCAGCTTTTCTTTTCTCGCCACTAATTTGTTCAGCGATATAACGCATCCTAGATACAATAATTTCATAAGTTGGACCAACATCACTTCCAATCAAATGAATTTCGTCGGCGATTAATAATGCAACCGTTTGCACATTTTTACGCTGTTTCCATCTTCGAGAGATCAAGTCCCATTGAGTTGGAGTGGCGAAGATTACATCACCTCCTTCCAGTAGTTTTAGATCTGCACTGAGTTCACCGGTGAGTGCAACGATATTTTTTCCGCCCTGGATGTTACCGAATTTCTGTTGCCACTCTGCAACTTGCTGATTAACAACTTCTTGAAACGGAGCGATGTAAACACAGCGTCCAGGATTGGGTTTCGACCATAATCGTAATAAAGCGAATTCGGCACAAACAGTTTTTCCGGAGCCTGGAGGTGCGCCGACGAATACGTTTTCATCAGAATTGTATAATGCATTGAATACCTGTGTCTGAATAGGATTAAATTTATCAACCCATGTGTTGTAGACACTTTCGAATTCGGGATTACGTAACGCAGTAACAGGTAAAGGTTGCATATCCAATAACTCTGTGTGTGGTGGATACTTCTTGGGGAGGATTAAATGTCTAAATGAAACTGGCAATTTAGTCTCGCAATGCAACCAACGATCTGATATTACAGAAATAAAGTAATTGGGCGGTAAAGGTTCAAAGAGTGGAACTGTAAAGGTGATAACATGATCTTCTTCGGCGTATTTTCTCTTTAGTATGAAGGAGTCATGATATAGAATCACTTCACCATCAACATCTTCAACTAATATCCAGAAAGCTTCGCCTGTACCATGAATATTGTCATCCCATTGAAAATCGGGTGTAATTGTCAATTCGACCTTTAGCAGAGACCGTGTAATTGGTTGAACAAATGATTTCAATGATAATCTTGGAAATTGATGAACTAGTTTGTAGACTATCTTAGCGAGATTTTGTCCCACCAATTGAGAAAGTTCGGGTACTCCCAAGTCGAAATATCTCTCCCACTCGAATTCTTTCTTTTCAATCTTCTTGATATGTTCAATCTGCAACTTTTTGAATTGGCGGAATGGGGTCATTGAAAGCCACATTCGTTTTTCCACCATTTTACATAAGTCTAAAGCTCTTCTTGATAATTGTGACCAGCCACGTTTCAAGCAAATTTCAAACATGGCACGAAGAATTCGGCCAGCTGATTGTGTGACATAGACCATATCGGCTACTAGAGCGAATCCTTCTAATTTAAGTTGAGAAATATAAGCCTGTAATAATACATTAATCTTGGATGTAGGTTCTTCGATGCTTTCTTTAACAGGTATTGGCACTCGTTCAAGCAATTTAGAAAGTTCGAGTTTTTCTTCTTCACGAACAGGGATGTATTTAAATTCGTCGGATAACGCGAATACTCGGAATAGTTCAATATGACCCATCATTGGCTTCAGATGTTGATTATAAGTGGCCATTGAGGTGTGTGTTATATAGAAATGAGAAGCAATGCGACCCAATTCAGTGACTTGGAATCTGCCACTTTTCTTGTCGTATTTTATTAAATTAGACTTATCAAGTAAAGCAGCAGCGGAATGAACTAAATCAACTCGTTTCTGCTCAAGGTAAGGATCCTCATCCAGATAATCAATGTTAATACCATATAGAGTATGATTACGTAACATTCGGACATATAAATAAGTGTAGCCCAACCATTGTACTGCTTCATCACGATTTCGAACTGTACCCAGTACAATCTCAGCATTTAAATTATCGGCTAATTTACTAACGAATTGACTTTCGATGGGTAATTGTTGATTCAGCAATGATAAGTAATATTGCAGCTCCGTATGAGAGGTTATGATGATTCCTTCACCGAATGTGTCATATTGTGGACGACCAGCCCTGCCCAACATTTGAAGAACATCTTCGGGACTAAGTTCAACCCAACGACCTTTCT